TTCCTCCCTCCCTCCCTCCCTCCCTCCCTCCCTCCCTCTCTCTCTCTCTCTCTCTCCCTCTCTTTCTTCTTTTTGAGACGGAATCTCACTCTATCACCCAGGCTGGAGTGCAGTGGTACAATCTTGGCTCACTGCAATCTCCACCTCTTGGGTTCAAGCATCTCCTGCTTCAGCCTCCAGAGTAGCTGGGATTACAGGCACGCACCACCATGCCCGGCTAATTTTTTGTATTTTTAATAGAGACAGGGTTTTGCCATGTTGGCCAGGCTGTTCTTGAACTCCTGACCTTGTGATCTGCCTGCCTCGGCCTCCCAAAGTGCAGACAAGTTAATTTCTGAGTCAGTCTTACCTATAAAGTGGGAATAATAATAGAGCCTACTTCATAGAGTTGCTACAAGAAAGGATTACATGGACGACGCGTCTTCATCCTGGCACAAGGTAAACTTTGTTGGTGGCAGCTGCTGTCGCTGCAAATAATGCAGCTGTGAGGCTGATGTGCAAGTGTACAGTATATGTCAAACAAATGCTCACCGGGGTTTCCTGTAACCAAGCATATGCGTACACCTCCCTCTCTCAGGGCCACGCTGCTCACTCCACACTGCCACCCTAGGGCCACAAAAGCCATCTCAGAGGCAGGTCAGAGTCTATGAGACTTGGCTGCATTCCAGCCAGGGTTCAGGTGTCAGGCCCTGCATTAGATTGGAGCCTTTGTCCCTCCTTGCTCCTGGCTCCTGGCTGTCTGTCCTCCGTCTCCCTCCAGCCTCCCATGGTGCAGGCAGCCCCCCCAGGGTACTTGGGGCTCCCCTGCAGCCCCACGCAGGCCTTGGCTTTGTACCAGTATCTCTTCCAGTGCCCCGCAGTCCCAGGCCAGCTCCGGGCTGCAATTCAACAGGTGAGGGAGGTGCATTGCCTCAGAAGGAAGAGGACAGGCGGGGACCTGACACCACCTTGCCCCTCCAGGTGCAAAAGGGCTGGGGCTGTCCTCTGGGTCTGGAGCTGCCCACTGTGCTGCTGCAGATGGAGTGGAGCCGGCGGGCCCAGGAACAGGTAGGGGCTGGCCAGGGGGTGTGACTGAGGCCAGGGTGGGTGCCCCTCACTCCCTGGCACCTCATCTTCCTGCAGCTCCTGTGGGACTTGGAACTGCTAACTGGCATGGGGCTGGGCCTCTTCTGGCCACCTGAGGCCCAGTTATTCGGTCCAAGGGGCCAGGCCCGCCATGCATGGAGCCCGTGCTGCCAGCCAGGTGGTAGCACAGGTGGGGACCCTGAGCAGCTGGTGAGTGGGTGAGGGGGCATGGCGGGGACAGAGGTTCTGGGGACACTGGGGCCTCCCTGTGGTGAGGGCAAGCAGAAGGGGCAGGATTTTGGAGACAGGGCTGTGTTCAAATCTCCACACTGGCGCCCTCATGGGCTTTGAGTCTACTTTTCCTCTCAGCTAGAAAATGACTGTGAGAAGAGATCTTTTCTCCAAGGGCTACCAGGAGGAGCAGTGGACTCGTGGGGCCACGCCTGGCACACAGGGCCTGCTCTCTCCAGGCAAGCCGTTATTCTCATTCCACAGTTAATGACTGTCTTGGTCAAATCACTTGCGTGGTGATACCTGGAAGCCTTTCCATGTGACCACAGCGCGGCGGGAAAGGGGCCTGGCAGGGCCTCAGAGGGCAAAGGCACTGACTCCAAGGGTGCCCCTGAGACACAGGCACTGACAGTCCCAGCCGCTGGCCCCTCCCTCCAGGACTGCAGCTAGGCTGAGCCCCCAGGAGGGCGGTGCTGTAGTGACTGGGCCCAGAACAGAGCTGGGAACTGGGAATGTGCGTCCCAGTCCTGGCTCAACCACCAGCTGTCTGAGTCACTTTGGGCAGGTTGGTGGCCCTCTCTGGGCCAAGGCACTCTCAGCTGTATCAGGAGGGGGTGTTAGTGGTGCAACTTAGGAAGGGTCCAGCCGACATTGCTGGCAAGAACTGTGGTCTCATCTGAGGCTCAATGGGGCAGAAAGGATCTATCTCCAAGTTCCTTCATGTGGAGGGGAAGGGGGGGGTCACAGAGGACATGAATTCCAGGAGGCAGGGATCATTTAGGGGCCATCGTAGAGGCTGCCTGCCACACTGGGGGATGGAGTCCTGTGGACTAGGGTGCTCCCGACTCTTCCAGAATTCTAGGCTGTCCCTCTACCCCAGGACAGGGACTCCCTGAGCCAAAACCACCAGCTCCCCGAGGGGTCAGTCTCCCCTGGGAATTCTGCCTTTCCTACTGTGTTGCCACACAAAGTAAACGAGAACTGGGCCCTTCCCCTGTCACCTCCTGCGGTCCTGCCCCATGCCCCTCCTTATGCCTCCTGGGCTCTTAGTTGCACCCATAGTTGCCCCACAGCCCCCTGGGAAGGTTAACCTCCAAATTCCAGCTCCCAGGATCTGGTGATGGGGTGGGGGGAAATGGGGGTGGCCACCCAGGACTCAGTGTTTGAATGCTGGGGGTGGGGTCTCAACAGACTGGCAGGCAGACTCCCTCCCATTCCAGAGCCCATGCGCCCAGAGAGGTGCATCAGAGGCAGGCTGTGAACTCCTGCAGAGGGCAGGCGGGAGACCCATCAGCAGCCCCAGATCTGGGTGAAGCTGGGAGTGGTGCAGACCAAGGGTGGGAGAGCCCTGGAGGACCCACAGAGCTCACATGAGGTACACTGTCAGACAGCCGGGAGGGCAGGGAGCCCCTGGGGCTGCGGCAGCCAGACTGGATTGGGACAAGGCAGGAAAGTCCTCTCCCAAGTCCTAGGACTTCATTCTTCACTCATTCTTCATCTCACACTTCCTGATTGACTGCTGGGACACCCAGGGATGGCAAGTGGGTTTTGTTTTTTGTTTGTTTGTTTTGAAACGTAGTCTTGCTCTATTGCCCAGGCTGGAGTGCAGTGACACCATCCTGGTTCACTGCAATTTCTGTCTCCTGGGTTCAAGCAGTTCTCCTGCCTCATCCTCCTGAGTAGCTGGGATTACAGGCACATGCCACCACATCCAGCTAAATTTTTTTTTTTTTTTTTTGAGACAGAGTTTCGCTCTTGTAGCCCAGGCTAGAGTGCAATGGCACGCTCTCAGCTCACTGCAATTTCCCCCTCCTGGGTTCAAGCGATTCTCCTGCTTCAGCCTCCTGAGTAGCTGGGATTACAGGCGCCTGCCACCACACCCAGCTAATTTTTGTATTTTTAGTAGAGACGGGGTTTCACCATCTTGGCCAGGCTGGTCTCGAACTCCTGACCTCGTGATCCACCCTCCTCAGCCTCCCAAAGTGCTGGGATTACAGGCATGAGCCACCACACCATTCGAAAGATGTGATTTCACAGAGAGTGCACCCATTTGGTTACTGCTATGAATATTCACAAGTCTGTATATTGCACAAGAGAACAAGATGCAGTATTCTTGGGAAAGCTCTCAATTTCAGAGCTTATGAAATCCATTTTCACTAGTTGTATGGATGCAGAACAGCTCTCCTTCCTCCACAGCTGCATTGGAGCAGTATCACATCATCTCTTTTTTTAGATTTCTTTTGTTAATTATGAACGCTCGCAGTTTTTAGGCCAGGCTCTGGCCTAAAATTTCATCTCAAATGTCCTTTGATTTTGCTGTCAGAAAAAAAAGGCTAAGGAAGGTTTTTCTGAATAAGAGTAAAAAGTAAGACGCCCAGGGCAGGTTTCTTATCTGAGCCTGATGGGCACACCAGGACAAAGTGGGCATGGCTGGTGCTGAGGGACCCTGGAGCCCAGCACTGTGGCCCTTCTCACTCCCAGGCCTCCTGTGGTGGTCTTGAGGAAGAGGCTGTGCAGGTCCTTTTGGGGTGGTCTGCCTTGGCTGGGAGGACGAGAAAGATGGGGTGGGCTATTGGCAGGCACACCTGACTAATAGGTGTGTGGCTGTCTGATTGATGAACTGTGACAGCCCTGAGGTTCAGACAGCACCCCCGGGGCATCCCCGGCAATGCACTGGGACTCCCTAAACTTCCCGGCTCTAGTCTAGGTGGACTGTGCTTGAGAGGCTGGGACATGAGCTCCCAACACTGGTCTTTCTCCCTCAGGTTCCTTACAAGAGCTGAACCCCACCAGGAGCAGGAGCTTTGGGGTGCCAGGCAGCTCAGAGTACAAGGTGAAATGTCAAGGGTGTCAGGTTGGGGATGGCAGGGGTGGACCTGCCCGGAACGAAGCTGCTGGGGTGAAGGGGCACTGAAGCACCTTCCACACCACAAAAAATGGCTTTAACAAACTCAGGAATCAGGCAAGGGCTGGCCCCTGGAGTCCGCAGGTTCCCCTAAGAGAAGTGGCCCTGGCCGGGGGTTCCCTCTCAAGCCTGGACCCAAAGTGCTCTTCCTTTCCAGGACCTGGCCCAGAGGGAAGAGAGGAGCCAGGCAAAGCCTGAGACCCAGGAGAGAAAACTCACCCCCGGGACCCCTGGGGCGTGGGGCCTGCCCTCCCAAAACCTGTCTTCGCAAGGTGCCCCTGAAGGGCTGGGCTCGGACCTGCATCTGGGCCAGGAGAGAGCAGAACTTCAAAGACTGCCAAGGATGGACACCCCTCAGAGGCTGAGAGAGGAGGGCCCTCAGGATCAGAAAGCAGAGACCCCTCAGCGTAATAGAGGGGAGGCCTCCAGGGGCGAGATCATAGATGCTCCTCAGAGTCAGAAGGTGAAGACACACGCCGGCCAGAGCCAGAGGCCTCCTCAGGGTCAGAGGGAGGAGGCCCCTCTGGGTGAGAACAGGGGTGCTTCTCAGAGTCTAACAGAATTATTCCGAAGTTCCAGGGAAAGGGGAGTCCCCAGAGTCCGGGGATGAAGATGCTGCCGTCTTGGGAGGGCAGTATCTCGCTAGCCTGGGAGGTGGCTCCCGGAGAGGCCATTGCACAGCCCCCAGAGGAAGGCGGCCCCCGGAGCCATCCGAGGAACTCCTGCGGGTCAGGGAAAGCACAGACTCCAAAGCCTGTAGGCAGGGTGATGAAGGGCATGAGCAAAGGCGAGAGGCAAACGTCGGCACCTGCGGTGGCAAAGCTGGGGGCCGCCCGGGAGGGGGCGTGGGCTGCGCTTCCCAGCCCGAGGCTTGCGGCCCGGCGGCGGCTCCCAGGTCTCGGAGCCATGATGCCGGCGACCCTGCGAGCCGAGGTATCCGGGCAGGAGGGGCTCCCCGCGGCTCTCTGGGGGCCCCCAGGCCTGGAGCGCGATCCGAACGGGCTGCAGGGCCCTGGAGCAGGCCCCGGCCCGGGGGAGCAGGAGGTGGGCTCGGCTCGGCTTCCGGGTGACCTCCGGGATCGGGGCAGCTGTCCTGAGCTTCCCAAGGCCTCGAAGGCCGCGTGGCCGGCGCCCCCCCGGCAGGCCCAAGGCGCCAGCGGGCGTGAGCGCGGCGCAGCAGGAGGCGGCTCTGCAGAGGCTGCTGGAGCTGCACAGCGCGGCCAGGCGGCGGCGCCGGCGGGACCGTGAGCAGCAGCGGCTCCGGGTGCGTCCACGCGCCGGGATCTGGGCCTGCCTGGGGCGGGCGGGACACCGAGGGCGGTCGGACGCTGACTGCCGCCTCTGCAGGTCCTGGAATGCCTCCACATTGCAAGGAACCGCCACTGCCGGGTTCATCCCCTGGGGCTCCCGCCCAGCGCGGCTCAACTCCCTCCACAGGCAAGACCCCCCAGAAAGCGGCCACAAGGAGCCTGAGCCGGGCTGGGGTCGAGCTTGGCGCGCTCGGGTCCCTTTGAAGTGCGCGCACCGCACTCTGGCAGTGACTCGGGCGGGGCGGGAGGGGCGGGTATGCCAGGTGTTGCCCTCCGGTCCCACCGAGTCGCGGACGCTCAGCGCTCTGCACCGCCAGGAGGATGCGGCCGGGCCGCGGCGCGCCCTGCGAGAGCAGGTGGAGCAGATGCATCGGGAGAGGACCGGGAGGCTGCGGGCCCTCGGGGCCAGGTGAGGGGCTGGCAGGGAGGGGTGTGGCGGTGGCAGGAGTCCGCTTTCCCCGGCCTCCGAGATGACAGGCCGTTTTCTCCCCAGGAACACCCAGAACTTCCAGGAGCTACTGTGGCCCCCTGTCGCCAAGGATCCCGTGCCTGCAGAGTAGTGCTCGCTCTTCCCAGCCCCCTCTGGTCATTGCTGTGCCCTCAAAAGGATGATTAAAGAGATAAGGGTTTGCAGTGGCTCACGCCGTAATCACAGCACTTCGGAGGCCGAGGTGGGTGGATCACATAAGGTCGGGAGTTCAAGACCAGCCTGACCAACATGGAGAAACCCCATCTCTACTAAAAATGCAAAATTAGCAGGGCGTGGTGGCACATGCCTGTAATCCCAGCTACTTGGGAGGCTGAGGCAGGAGAATCGCGTGAACCCGGGAGGCGGGGGTTTCAGTGAGCCAAGATCACACCATTGCACTCCAGCCTTGGGCAACAAGAGCGAAACTCCATCTCAAATTTAAAAAAAAATTTTTTTAATTAAAAAAGAAGAAAGAAAGTTACAGGAAAAGCGGGCAACTTGCAGGTCAGAGATAGTTTCAGAAACGCCTGAATGCAGAGCCAGAGAGAACAGAGAGCAGCAGACACACACAGCAGCTTTGCCCCACCAGGAGGCCCGTTATTTTTTCTTCCTTCCCCTAAGCCCATGCCTGGCCAATGGTCAGAGGGCCAGGTCCCTGGGATCCAGTAGTGCGAAAGCCCCGTTCTTGCGGAAGAATGACTCAATGCGGCACATCTTGCAGGAGACCAGTTCTTGCTTCACTGGGGGGCCTGGGAAAAGAATTAGAGGCCAAGTGTGGGTTCCTGAGGGAAGGTCAGCAGATCATGGGAGCCCTGTCGTTCTGCACAGCCCTAGGAATCCGTCAGTGGAGTAGCCGCTTTGTGGGAAGAAATAGAAAATACTTTGGAGGTGTGGGAGCTACGGGCAAATACTGGGAGCTGACTGGATGCCAGATACAGCAGTCATCTGCCATTACCCCAGCTTCAGGATCCTCTACCTGCCGTGTGGGGGGCCACCTAGGCCTGCTTGTCACTTGTGGAGAGATGGGGCTTCCTTCTGCCTCCTGCTCCTCACTTCTAGGACTTGCCTCCTCCTTTTGTTAGAAAGTTACTTTCCTGACTTCCCCTGTAGGGCCCTGGGGGAAAGTGGTGTTTGGGGGTAAAATCTCAGCTGAGTTGATCCCCAGCCATCCACCTTTTCTGCCAGACACTCAAGCAGCTGGAGGACACAGGGCTGGGGAGCCTCACTTGACATTCATGAGCAGATAGCAACATTGCCCAGCAACGCTCTCTGGCACAAGCCTGTTCCACACCTTTCCTCTTCATCTCCAACTACTCCACTGCCTGAGCTTGGCATCCTCCCAGCTGATGGCCTTGACTCAACCTCACAGAAGAAAGACTCAGCCTAGATGGACAGGCTTCCTGCCAATGCCATCCCGTACCCGCCTCTGGCTCAGCCCTCCTGTCCCCACTCCTGTCAGATTCCAGCAACTTGAGCTCCCCAGGTGATCTCATGGATTTAAATAGCACCTATAGGTCAAGAGCAGTGGGGAGCCTGAGGTGGGTAGATAACGAGGTCAGGAGTTCGAGACCAGCCTGGCCAATATTGTGAAACCCTATCTCTACTAAAAATACAAAAATTAGCTGGGCATGGTTGTGTGCACCTGTAGTCCCAGCTACTCAGGAGGCTGAGGCAGGAGAATTGCTTGAACCCGGGAGGCGGAGGTTGCAGTGAACTGAGATTGTGCCAATGCACTACAGCCTGGGCAACAGAGCAAGAGTTCGTCACACACACACACACACACACACACAAGCACCTATATTCAAATGACCTATGAATTTGCAAATTTGCATCTTCAGCTCTGACTTCAATCCAGACTTACAGATAGAGCCACCCTATAGACACTTGAAGCATAAGATGGCCAAACACGCATGGTTAAATAGGACCTGTTCATGCATGATTCCAGTCTTCCCTGTCACTGCAGCTTTAGCTAAACACCCAGGTGTCACCATTGATCTCTCTTCTCTTCCCCTTATTCTCACATTCTATCTGTGGGTGAGTTCCACTGAGTCTTCCTACAAAACATCCTGAATTGATTCCAGCTCTATTGCTGATCCCTCAAGCCACTACCACAGGGTAACAAAACAGATGCCCACTCTCACATGCCAGATTCCACAATTTCCCCTAAAAAAGCCACTGCCTACATATAGGTCAGGGTGACGTTTTTTTTTTTGAGACGGAGTTTCACTCCATTGCCCAGGCTGGAGTTCAGTGGCATGATCTTGGCTTACTGCAACCGCCGCCTACTGGGTTCAAGCGATTCTCCTGCCTCAGCCTCCTGAGGAGCTGGGACTACAGGAGGACGCCACCACACCCGGCTAATTTTTTGTATTTTTAGTAGAGACAGGGTTTCACCGTGTTAACCAGGATGGTCTCAATCTCCTGACCTTGTGATCCACCCGCCTTGGCCTCCCAAAGTGATGGGATTACAGGCGTGAGCCACCGTGCCTGGCCTACAGTGACTTTTTAAAAAGTTCATCAGTGTCACTCTTGAAACCTGTTTAGAACCCTCCATTGGCTTCCCTGCACACCAATAAAATCCAAACCCATTCTTATCATCTGGCTCTCAGCCTCGGGTCCTCAGAAAGGCCTTTCCTGACAATCCAATAAATAGCAGCCCATGTCCCCTGCCTCCCTGCCCACTGTGACTCCCTAGTTCTGTGGAATGTGTCTTTGGCCATCTCCTTGCTCTGTTTATGGTCTGGTTCCTTCACTAGGATGTCCACTCCCTGGCACATGGCAGGTGCTCTGTCTTTGAGGTGAGTTAATTTCCAAGAGGTTGGGCTCACCCAGCTGCCAGCCATACATGAAGTTGGTGGTGATGGGGAAGAGGTATCGCATCTCTGGCATGTCCAGTTTTCGGGTGTTGAGGTAGCGATAGCGCCCCTGGAAGTCGTGGGAGATGCCTTCATACAGCAGGGCTCGGGTGGCAGGTGGTACTGGGTACATTTCTGCCTCAAAAGGAGCCTCTGGGACAGGGCTGGGTGCCTTGGAAGGGGCAGACTTGGGGGCAGGTGGGGGTGAGAGTGGGGCTTTGGGGTACAGGGTGGGCAGTTTGAGGGGCAGGCGGGCTGCAGCCTTAGCCTTCTGCTTGGCCTTCACCATCGACCCATACTTGCGGTACCATTCACAGCGCAACATCTTTTCCCTCAGATATTCCTCCTTCCAGAAGTTCTGCCGCACCGTGTCCATGTTGAGCTGCCGTGCCATGGTGGCCGGGAAGGAGCGGCACCGGGATAGCTGCAGCTGAGGGGAGAGCACAGCAAGCAGAGTGCTTCTGATGTTGGGTGGCTACCCTGGCACCGTCACCTGGCAACCATGCCTCACCTCACACAGGGCCAGGGTTCTACCTGCCATGCCCCCAGCAGCCCTCATGAGCCTGGCTTCCTGTGACAGCCCAGGGCCCAGGTCAACTAAGAGCCCTGTTCCCCACACCCCCTACAGGGCCCATGTGTGATCTGGTGTCACAGGATCCCAGGTTTCTGGTGCTTTCTGCTTCTGTCCTTTGTGTTGGGCCCCCTTCCCAGCCCAATGGCGAGCAAGGTGGAGGCAGGGGCTGGGCTCAAGGCCTCCTACTCCGCCCCACCCAGAGCTGGTCTTCTCTGATCTGAGGACCAGTCCCTGAGTTCTGCCTCCCAACATAGTCTTCCTGGGCCAGCTCTTCCATGCCCGTCTTTAGCAGCACCTTTTGCATCCTTGCCAATCAAATCTGCCCCAGAGCCTCACCCACACATGTCCTTTCCAGCACCCAGCCCCAGTTCGGAGAGAAGCAGTAATATGACTTTAATTTAACATCAACAATGACACCGTGTAACAGCACAGGGGAGAGGTAGTGGACAGAAGATGGTCAGGCTCCTGTTCCTTAACCAGCCTTGATTTTACAGCAGAGCCCCAGCAACCTAGAAGTGTCTCACTTAGCCTTTTTATGGAGTGGGAAGGGGCAAGGAATAGGAAATCAGAGGCTCAAAATGTAAAGAGGCTGATGGCAAGGCTGGGGAGAGGCCTGGAAATGAGGGAAGGGTTGAGGGCTGTGAGGAGTCCCCTAGCGAAGGTCTTCGGCAGTGAACATGCCCCTGGCCCTGCGCAGGATGGAGTCCTTGGCGGCGTCATACGGGTGTTCCTTGGAGGGGATCTCCAGGACAGCTGGGATGGAGTGTTGGTGGGCGTCCAGGGCGTGCCGCACCATCTCTGCAATGTACTGGTTGATGAGGATGATGCCAATGTCGTCCCGGTGTAGAAACTGCCTGTGGGGAGAGATGAGGAGGAAGTTCAGGACAGCCAAGTGGTTGGGCTGGGCTATGGAGGGGAATAAGCACGGCCCAGAGGGCACAGAAGACAAGGGAAAAGGCTGCTATGCTCAACACTCTCTCAACCCCACCTAGAATCAATTTCATCCTAAAGCGGAGGGTCATGTTCATTAGGCTTGGCTTCTACAACACTGCCTAGAAGGCTTCCAAGTGAGCTGGTAATGAAGATTAATAAGGGTGCACACCAGTGTATTCAACATGTGGTGACGGTGTCAGGAAGGGGGAGGATAAGATTATATGTACGCAGATCCCTTTTTATGTGCAGATACCAAAGCCTGGGTTTGATGGCTTATACCTGTAATCCCAGCACTTTGGGAGGCTGAGGCAGATGGATCGCTTGAACCCAAGAATTTGAGACCAAAATGGGCCACATAGTGAGACCCTGTCTCTACAAAAAATACACACACACACACAAAATACAAAAATTGGCTGGATGTGGCGGCACATGCCAACTACTTGGGAGGCTGAGGTGGGGGAATCACTTGAGGCTGGGAAGTCGAGGCTGCAGTGAGCTGTGAACACTCCACTGCACTCCAGCCTGGGTGACAGGAGTGATACCCTGACTCAGCAAAAAAAAAAAGAAAAAAGAAAAAGACACATTAGGCCGGGCGTGGTGGCTCACGCCTGTAATCCCAGCACTTTTAGAGGCTAAGGTGGGCAGATCACGAGGTCAGAAGTTTGAGACCAGTCTGGCCAACACAGCGAAACCCCGTCTCTCTAAAAATATAAAAAAATTAGCCAGGTGTGGTGGCGGGCGCCTATAATCCCAACTACTTGGGAGGCTGAGGCAGGAGAATCACGTGAACCCAGGAGGCAGAG